CTCTCTCTCTCTCTCTCTCTCTCTCTCTCTCTCTCTCTCTCTCTCTTTCTTTCCTGAACCCGGACTCTGGACTAGAACTCAGGATCTCGTGCTTACCACTGAGCTACATTCCTGGACCCTGCTTATTTCTGAGGTGTCAGGAGCAGGATGCTGTACGATTGTGTCACACAGCTCATAATGTCAATGCCATTTAGAATTTGTGAATTTTTATTCTGGAAACTTTACTATTTTCAGACTGTGGCTGACTGAGGGCCAGTAAAACCACAGAAAACAAAACCACAATTAAAGGGACATTAATTGACATAATTAATTTAAGAGAATTTATACCCAGAGTGATCTAACTTATTCCTTTTACTCAATCTAAATATCCTAGACTTATCCAAGGCATATTGGTGTTCTTACCTAAAAAAAAATCCTTTTTACCTTTACCTGATCAAGTTCTGCCCATTTTAAGATCCAGCTAAACATTAAATTTTGCAAAACACTTCCTGACTACACCTATTGGTGTTAATTTTCCTAACTTCTAATCTTTATCTAATCATTAACAGATTGCTTTGTATTATTTTATGTTACAAACCAAATTTAAAAAATTAAATATTCCAGCTCAAAAGATAGTCCAAAGAGTGGGCATATTTATTCTCTTTAAAGTGTAGTATAGACGAGTATGAGGATGAGTTTAAATCTATCATTGATTTGTATTCTTTACTGAATTAATCCTAAAAACTGATTTACGGAAGCCTAGAGGAATTACTTTCTTCCCTCCTCCCTCCAACACATGCATATGCAACACTGACAGCATACTGAAGCACACATACCAGCGTAGGAATAACAAGGGTAAGGAAATTGTCTAGGAACTAAAAAGTAAAAATGTCTGAACACACACTATTTAGCACTTCGTTAAATCTTATGATTAAAGAATTCGCACCTTCATAGTCTTATTTTGGTTAAACTGCTGGCGAGGATATGCCTCTAGCTATTGCACTGTTGGGTTAATCTGGGAATTTTCCTTCTGAAGAGCTACAAAACCAAGCTGAGGAAAAAATATGGGCAAAGAGGAAAGACAGTTGTCCTCTTGCAAGATGAAAACATGTATTACAACACACCGAAGAAAATAGAGTTCTCTCTTTGTAGTTAAAACTACATATTAGTTTAGTTCAAATTCTTTCTATGAGTACATAAGATTTATTGAAATTATATTGTTTGAGTAAGATTGAGACAGCTGCATTTTATTTCAGGTTTTCAAGCCATAAGAAAAAAATAGTGCCTTTAGGTTTTCCACTCGACTAGGAAAATTATAGCTTCATATTTGCAACACTAAAGCTAATGCAGTGTCAGCACCTCCACCAAACTCCGTTGTTCAGCAGTTTATAATTTAAGCAGAAAATGTTCACTCCAAGCTCAACTTGGCCTACATAATCTCAAAGAAAATGCAGAAAAAAGTTAGCGTTGGCTAGTTCTGACTTATAAAAGCAAAAGAGAGTGCTTTTATAAAGTGCTTTGGAAAACATCTTTGAAAATTGAGAATGTAGCTAAGGATTACTGCATTGACATCCTTCATTTCTAAAGTGTTAGAAATAATCTAATACTCCATGTCACATCAATATTAGTAGTATCATAACTATGATTCCTATGAAATTCTTCATTGGGATCTGTTTCTGTACTAGAGAAAATTAGCATCCACAGGAAAGAAAACAATTAAAATGGAAAATAAGAATAAAAAGATAATTTTCTCACGAGGGTTGTACAAGACTTTAGATCTATTTTTCCTTTAAGTACAAACTCTCTAGTCTACCATATGCACATAGATGAAATGAAAAATATTTCCCATTTTTAAAAGCAGTTCTCAATGGCAAGCTGTAATTTCCTCTTCCTAAATGCCTCCTTGACATAAAAACAGCATAGCATAGAATTGGACTTCCAGTCGCAGCCACCAGGCCCTGCGGAGTCCTGCACTGGCTGAGGTGGGCACAGCTCCTCATTTCTGGGGTTCTGCGTCCTTGAAGCCCGGTGACAAATGCCTGTGCAGAGCCTCTGCGCAGCGTTCTAGGTGAGAGCCAGCGCCTCTCTGCTCTGGTCTCCTACAGCTCCAGAATATATCCATCCAAACGTTGATACAGGGGTATCAGGGCATGTTAGAAGCAAGACCTCCTGGCCTGTCTGTAGAAGTCTCATTTTATAGGCCTTTGTCTTAGGCTCGCTCTAGTTTTCATTTAGCGTTTATTAAAGTCTTACCTCGGGGCCAAGCCACAGATGACAAGTTGCCTACCTTTTATAGGTTTTTAAGGGGAAGCAAATAGTTCATAAGAACGACTCTAGTACAACTGCGGAGGGCTATCTGCACTCTACCGAACAGTGCCAGGAGCCAGAATACCCCTTTCTCATCCCCGCCGCTCTCCAGGTCATCACCCTTTGAAGGCGCCCTGATTTGTCTGGCAAGTATTCCCATCCTGTTCTTAACGAACACAATGCATCAATCCCTCCCACTCAGGGGACCATGGTCATTTTGTGGGCGAAAACCACCTGGGAAAGGGGTACAAAGTAGGACGGTCTTAGTTCCCGCAGAGGGCGGTGGCGGAGGGCGGGGGTGGGGGAGTGGGGGAGCTGCCTGTGGGGTGTCTGCCTGGAGCTCGGGCTTTTCCGGGCGGAGGAGACTGAAGGAGCGGCTCTGGCTCACCTGGTTCAGGTGTGCAGCGATGAGCGAAGGTTCCCATATCTTAGAACTGCTGTCCGTAACCCCGGTTTTTTCTTTCTTGGGTGCCATGCAAACGCCAGGGGCATTGGTCTAGAAACTGGGCTGAAGCCCTGCCTAAGCGTCCCTGTTGCATAGCAACCGAGGCCACGCCCAGTTCTGTAACAGATTTGGCCCCTCCCCCCACCTTGCTTGCTCCGTTGGTCAACCGCTTCCGTTGCATAGCAACCTACTTTCCAGCTGCAGCGTGAGGGCGGGGCTCCCTAGACTTTAGGCTAAGGAGAGGGTTTATCTTCAGGCAGAGTCAGACGGAGCTGGGGTCTGGCAGGGTGTTTCTTTCACCCAGTTAGGCCTCTTTTTTTGGTGATTGTCTCTGTTTAGCTTACTCTCTATAACGTGCTCTGCGCTTGCAGGTGAAACGCTTCTGCTACCCTAGTGAGCCAGGAAGATTGAGATGATGCTTGTTGCCTGCAGTCTAACTTTAATCTGTCCCCGTGGGTGACTTCCATACATGACAGATGTTCTGATCCATCCATTTTATTTATTTATTATTTAGAAATTGTGAGGGCCGGGAGAGGGGAGATTGATTCTGAATGTTCTCCAAAGGCCAAGTTGAAGGTGTGGCCCCAAGTTTACACTGCTGCTTGGGAGTTGATGGGCCCTAACGGAAAGCGGCTGGGTCGCGTGGATTTGCTCCTGCGACGGTATTAGCACCAGGACCTTCTGTCTCTCCTTTTGCTTCCTATCTGCCGTGAACAGCTTTGCGCTAGCACCCGCTTCCTGCCCCAGATCACGGACAATGAGGCCACGCGATTATGAACTGAAGAGCCCAACACCACGAGTTCACGTAGGTCTTCCTTTCTTCTTTATCAGCTGATTATGGCAGGTATTTTATCCGAGTTATGGAAAGCTGGATAACACCATCGCGACCCCCAGTCACTGTATCTTCCTATTTGGGTCAGTTCTAATGATCAGCTTTATTTTCAACTCTTGTTCCTAATTTGCATCAATGGATGGAAGTTTTCTTGCCATCAAAAATTCTTTAAATATAGACAGTGAGGAAAAGCATGATTTGTAGAAATTATCTTTCATATACATAAATCCCAAAACTATAATTTTCCATTTTATTTGCAGTGTGAACAGTTCAACTTTCTGGAGGGACCAGATCCAAGCAGCTTAGCCACAGGTCACATCTGGCAGCCTTCACTTCTTGTTACGAGAATAAAATGACGGATGCGTGGTGATACTGGAAGGACCTGCCAGGAAATCGCTTTCCTGAAGGTCTCCGTAGCCATCTTGGAGGGAACAACTGATCCATACTCGCACCATTTCCTCCAAAATGTTATTCTTCACCACTATTTTCTTAGCATTTTAGGTTAAAGTTGTCTATGCTGGCTTCAAAATAAAAATGACTCTTTTACAGATTAAAAAATCATCTCAGTATCCCAGCATCATTCAAAGTTGTGATCATAATTATCTCGAAGTTCTAACTTGCTTAGACAGAAAGCTTGGTATTTTTATTAGAAGAGTGATAAAAAAAACTTGTGTCATAAAAAATTTAAGTAGGTGTTTATGCATGTCATGCTATGTTACTAATTTTCTTTCTCCTTGGGTGTGATGTGCATTTCAAAATAAAACTTATTACATTAAGTACAGTCAAATCTGAAGGTAATTAATAAGATAGGTTGCAGATAACCGAGAGGAACAAGAAACCTGGAATGAGAAGACAACACATAAAATTGAGTGTTATCTTAAAATTGCAGAGAAAGTATCACCGGCTACTTTTTACAAGTGACAGTCCTACTCAATTAAATTTAAATATAGAAGGCTTTCCAAAATTGATTTAAGGAATTTAAAATAAAGGTTTTATTGAAGAATACCTTTTTCCCATTGTGGGGCTTTTTTATTATTTTATGTAAAGTAGTACTTTAGGTAATTTATGATAGAAACTGAAAAGACATTACACAGTCACCAAATTTATAGGGAGTTTCATCATAGAATTGGTCTGTTTAATTTCAGAAAATAGGTGTGAATGACAATGTTCATAGTTTTAAGAAGCAAAAGCCATTCAGCCAAAAAGAGACCCCTGCCAAGAGCAGAAAAAAAAAAGCATTACCATCTGTCATACATTTATACTTTTTTGGTGTAATAAATTGTTTCCCCCACTAAATATGAGTTGAAATTTTATAAGCATATACTTTACTACATAAATTTTCTCATATGTCAATGACTAAAACAAAACTGTACTATTTGAAGAATTTTCTTTCACACTGGCAAAGTTATTCTTTATTTGTGTTCCATTTAGCATTGCCAGTAAGATTTTGAATTTAATGTGTTTTGTTCAAGGACTGTTAGTCTTTCTTTAGGATAGTATGATCACTGAGAAAATTAGTTCTTCAAGTTTTATCATTGGATCATATAGTTTGAAGTCAACTGTACTCCTTTTAATACCAGAAAGTGTAGGGCCAGCTCTCTGTGAGTCCAGTATTTCCGTTGTTACCAGGTCATATCAAGAGCTACAGATCAGTTCCATTCAAAGCCAGATTTCTGGTGCTCAAAAACATTTGGCTGCCTTAATCAAAGTTTGCCTTTCATTAAAGAAGACCTCACTGATATCTACTCCATTCGTCATTCTGTAGCTAGGAACTCTTTTCACTACGAATGTCTTATTCACCCCATGATCTTTTTGTTTCTAAATGTCAAAGCATAGTATTGTAATACAGTATCCTTGGTGCATTATTGTGGCAAAATCAGCTGCAATGCTCACCTAATGTCTTGTGAGTTGTGAGGAGCCCGAGAGTCCATCATTTTCTAAAGAAGAATATCCTGAAGAAACCAGGGTCAATGATAGAAGTGGCCTCAATGTCTTGTGTATCTGTAAGTCTCTGAAACAATAAAGTGATGTTGATTTAATTTTTATGCTATTTGAAGCAAGAGAGTTTAAAATACCAGATTTATTCTTAATGGGTCAGAAAAGTGAGTTGCAAATATCAAAAATATAAAAAAGCTAATATTCATCTGTTTCATGTTTGTTAGTGTGGGATTTTTCATTCTAGTGATCTCTCAAGTTTTTCTTTAAATCTAATTTTAAATATCTTCAGTAAAAAGGATTTGCCTTTTGTCCTTTGGGGACACTTTTAAAATCCATAACAAGGTAAGTCATTTCTCTAAATGCTTAGCCACACGTTTGATTTCTTTCTTTCTTTTTTGGTGGAACTGGGGATTGAACTCAGACCCTTGTGCTTGCCAGGGAAGCACTTATTTTAGTGAGCCATCTCCTCGGCCCCTGCATGTTTGATTTCTTAATGGTTTATGGAATGTCTGTCGAAAAGTTTTGCTATGCTAAGTAAAAATTTTTGTCATTCAGGGAGCTCAAAAGCTAGTGCTAAGATGAGAGAACTTCAGTCTAACAAGTTATACGAGTTCATACAATGCTAGATCACAGAACATTCCCTCAGCAAGAAGAGATGGGTGGGGTCTCACTGATGGCACTAAGTACGATGACTTGGCCCAAGAGCTAGGTTTGGTACATTTCTTTCCAACTGCTCTTCCTTCCCTCTTTGACTTTCAGCCTTCCTCAAAAATTCAGTGTAACCATAAGAACATCTCAAAGGACTTCCAGGGATATTTGCCCTATGATCTTGTAAATATAAAAAATAACTGTTCATACTAACCTGTTTTTGTCTTACCAATCCATGTTTCCATGAATTAATTTTTGTCTGCCTTCTAGTGCTTTTGTAACATTTTAGTGTTGAAGAGAACCCGCTAAAAGGCTAACTGTGGGATCGTTTCACTTACTGAAAAGGAATATTGTTTAGTGAGGCCAAACTGCTTCATTTCCTCTTATACTTCAAGCTCATAGATCATTTTTCTACCCAATAACTTTTATGTGTTCTTTCTTGCTTTCTTTTTGCCTTCGAAGTGTAGTATTTTATACCCTATGCATCTTCATATAAGAAAGTTAAATGATTAAATAAATTTATATTTCTCAGAATGTGTTCTGTAGTGTTTTTGCATCCTCACACAGAAGAGAAAAGCTGGTTTGTTATAACTGGTCCATGAAAGATAACATTTGAAATTTCTGATTTTGTGTATTATAGTACCAATTCCTGCTCACAAGCAAATTTGGGGAAATGTTGCTAATAGTAGAGACCTCCTTTAATACTACATTCAACTTGGGGCTGGTGAGATAGCTCAGTGGACTAAAGCATCTCCTTAGGCAAGCTTAGGCTAAGTGCAGGGCCTGTGGTTCAATTCTAACACCACATGCTGGGCCAACCCCTGTCCCCAGGTGGGCTGAGCTGGCCACAGTCTGGGTGTAGTGGCACATGCCTGTAATCCTAGCACTGGGGAGGCTGAAGACAGAAGGATCACCATGAGTCTGAGCTGTGTAGTAAGAGGCTATAACAACCAGAACAACAACAACAACAACAACAACAACAACAACAACAAAACTCCCACAAAACTATGTTCAACTCAAATAGTGCCATTTGGAACAAGAAATCTCTAAATGTAGCTGTAAATTTGGGAATTTAATTTGGCTTAAATGAAATAAAGATTTTTAATGTAATAAAAAATAAAATTATATTTCATGGCTCGTTGTTGTTGCCATTTGTAGGGATGGGAATACTAGAAGGTTCTGGGAGTGGGAAGCAGAGGCAATAACAGCTTTTGCTTTAGATATACGCATTTGTGTGCCCTTAAAACACCTAACATAGGACTGGTGAGATAGATTGGTGGAAGAAGCACCCACTTAGGCAAGTGCTGGGACTGGGGTTCCATCCTTGGCGCCACATGTGAGCCTCCCCCACCCCCAGGAGTGCTGACCTGGCCACCGAGACCAGGTTTGGTGGCACTCGCCTGTAATCCCAGCACTGGGGAGGCTGGAAACAGGAAGATCACTAAGAGTCTGAGCTACATCGTGGGACCCTGTACCAAATACATACAAACACAAAATAAAGCAAAAAATAAAAAACAAAATTTCATTTTGTAGAGGTACAAATTCTCTATGATGAATATGATCATTGTGTATATCTAAAAACACCCAACTGTGTCAAGGAGGCATTTGGATG